TCAGCATTTTTCAGCATTCAAGTTGCATAAAGCTCTGAAGTGCATGCTACCTAATTATATAGTTTCAAGCTATTGAGGCATCTGAATTTGAAGGAGGACAATCAAAATATCATTCCAGGCACAGATGGTAAAATGACCTGATAATTATGAGGCAATGTTAAGGGTGAGAAAGAGAGGAGGAGGAAAGATGCTTTTCATGCCAGTGCAGCTGACAGATAAATTAACAACTTGGTAGTTTCTGCTTCACCTACCTCCAGTACGATTTTCTGCGCAATGTTCCCTTTCCTCCCAGAAGACACAATAATAGTTCACTGCAGAATGTCTGCAGCCAGGAGTTTTCTGGGGAGTCACACACACCACCATTGGACTGAACACACTCTTTCAGAMGTACCTTTTCCTTCTCAATGTTTTCACACATGTATATATGAAAAATGCCAATTGTTATAAATAAAAATTGGGCACCTGCCATCTTTTGTGGGCAGTAGCTGCTATAGAGCAGTGCTGATTCAGAAGATCTCTAGCAGTGTTYCAAAGTAAACATCGTTATCCTTTTTTTTCTTCTCAACATTGTAAAAAGGTATTGCTGGGTCTCCAGTGACTGCAAATAAAATTTAAATAATTTTTAAACTAGATACTGAACATACAATGGAGTTGGCAGTRCTTGGTTAATAGTTGGACTCGTTYRTCTTAGAGGTCTTTTCCAAYCTCAATGATTCTATGACACAAAATCTTTCATTGGGAATATGTCACTACCCTCGGAGCAAAAGAAGTGAGACCATATTTAAGACCAAATACACCCAGACAAGTTTGAGACTCTGGGAACTAAAACGTTTGCCTTTTTAATCAGAAGTATAATCTAATACAAATTCACAAATTCCATATGTTTGAATGGTAATTGTCATTAAATCCAAATGCTATACTTAAAGTTGCCAAAGATTTGCTCTTACTCTTGGGACAAATTATTCAGCCTCCACAATTCTTAGTATGTTCACCTGCAAAACAACTCCAAACTAGTGGTTACACCAAGTTGGAGGAAGGCTGAGATCTTTATTGTGTGGTACAGAAATTCAGAGAAGGATGGAGAAATGTGCAATGCAAGTGCAATGTGTTACTACACACAAATCACTTGTACAGAAAGTAAATACACATGATTTGTGTAGGAGGCACAAGAAATCTCTAAATTGCCATCCTCATATTTCCCCAGCATGAAATTTTCAGCAGAACAGAAAGGACAGAGAAATCCCTTGCCTAATAAAAGGCTGCATTTTCACCCAAATAAAACTCTGTAAGTTCAGATATAGGAATATTTTTGTGTTGTTTCTTTACATGTGTTGTGAGACAAAGTCTACATGCAATGCAATTTGTTTATCCAGTTATATACCACTCATTTATACATACACCTCTCATTTGTCATGAGCAATGTTTTTTTTTTCTGAACATTTGGCCAAAAGATTGAAACCGAATTGCCACGTGTCTTAAGGCAGAATCTCAAGACAGAACAAGCTTTCCTTCACAATAGTGCCTCCTGCAGAGMCTTTAAGGATTTTTTTCTCCCATGGTTAGTTCCAAGAAAGAATTATATACACCTAAAGAAAACTATGAATGAAAGTATAGCAGGGAATATATATTTCCAGGGCTAAAACTGTACTAAGAAATGGATTCATCAGGTTTCTGATATTGTGCTCTGATATTATCTATCACTATAGTTCCTAAAGGCTTCTATGGAGGGTTTATTTGTTGATGAATTATCTATTATGCATTTATTTTCCTTTAGCTGCTTCTAAAGTATACCCATWTTTAAATGTCTCTCAATTCTATAAAACATTAAAGAATATTTAACCTATATTCATGTCCTCCTGCAGAATAACAGAATTATAGCAGAAGACAGAAATTCTCAAAGTGCAATAGTTCCATTCTTTTACTTAATTTAACCATTTTATAAAAGTTCAGTGCCATTGACACAAATTCAAATAAAATCATTCAGTTACGGTAATGCAGCATCCCAAAGCAAGTTGAAGAYGGAATGTCAAGATTCTTAATTGCAAAATTCATCCCTTCTAAAGACACTTTCACTGTCCTTCATCTGACAAGGTCTCTGTGGGAGTTAAAAGAAATGGAGACCAGATCTTGAAAAGGACATTGCACTCAATCAACTTCAATCTTTTTTAATGAGTTATAGCAGAGAAATGCCAGCATGAACCCACTTAGTCTAGTATTTCATTAATGGGTATGATTTAAACTAGTAAATGTAAACCTTTTCTAAACTCCTGTTCCTGAACTGTTATGTGTAAGCAATGTGCAGCAAGGATCGCTTATTTGAGCCAGTGCAACCTCCTCATGAAGGTGAGAATTGAGACAACTCAAAGGTACAAAACATGCTTACAAGAAGCTAATGCCCTTTTCCTGCTCTTCCCAATAAATGGCATGTTCTAAAGTCAAGGTTCCAAACGTAGGCTGCCTGCCCACTCACTTTAAATGAAATCTTTCTTGTTTCCACCCTGTGTAGAATTGCCTCTGTTTCAGCAGCCTGTGTTTTTTTGTAAAGTGTAGGACGCTGTGATAAACCCCACAACTTGATTCATGAAGAGGGAAACCATATCTCAGTCTGCTGTCTTCTGTTCCATCAGAAGTTCTTATCATTACCAAGCTGCCCTTGGTGCTGGTAATTTCTCTYTTCTGTTCTGAGAAGGAAAAGAAACTGATTTGCTTTGTCTCAAATCCTCTGATTAGCTGGGTGCAAGTTTGATAGCCCCATCTTATCAGGAAAGTAGACTCACCACAYGTGTAACTTGCAGGCTTGACTACGGTGTTTTAATCCTTTCCCAGCTGCCWGTAGGACAGAGCTCCAGCCCTCCCTCCTGTAAGCCCTGTAAGAGCACAGTTTAAACTGATGGATCAAAGAGACACCAATGGACCTGTATGAGCCTCACTATCCCTACCTCTGTTATAAAGCCCTTTTTGGTACTTTTGAGCTATTTCTTTCTCCATCTTCTCCACAGCTCTAAAAGCATGTTTTAAAATTATATTTTAAATGTATTTTAAATGTATTTTAAACTGCTAGAAGTAGTACATAATAACAAAGGTAGCAACAACTTCTCTTTTTTCTGTATTTACTCCCCATTGTGTTACTTTCCTTCACTATTTGTTAGTGGTGCTTGAATTCCCTTTCTAGCTCATACTTTCRTGCATTTTACTTTCAGGGAATGTTGCAGAAAGGCAAGATTTAAGACTTGAAACCTAGAGCCACAGAAGCCCATAATGCATTCTCRCTAACTCAAATGGAGACAAGTTTTCTTCTTGAAAGCAAAATTTTTAGAATAATAGCCAAACTATTTTATAAACATGTGCCAAAAGTAAAATTCTTATTAACTCAAATAGAGCCAGGTTTTCACCCTGAAAGCGAATACTTTAGAATAAAAGCCAAACATTTAAATAAATTAGTGTATTACCTGATGCACTAYAAGGATACACAGTAAGAAAAGTAAATGTGTAGTAAAGCAGTGGATTTTGCTTTAATATCATACTCATGCCCTTCAAAAGTCAGTTGCTCAACTTTACCTGCTCAACTTTCACTTCTGAACAGAGAGTAGAGCTTTTATTAAAYAGATGTTGGTAAAGTTGAAGTTGCATTTATTGTAAGACTGAAGATTCACAGAWCAGATTTGGGGGCTTGCCTGTAGTTAATGGAAACTGTGTTCAACAAGAGATGTACAGCACACACACACACACACATTCACCTCTGCATATTCTCACCAGAAACAAATTTGAGATTTTAAGTGGGGCATGTTATGGGGGGATGGGAACCTCAAAGGAGAGAACATCAATAACCAGACAGAAGGGAATAATCCTGCCTTGGACAAAGTCTTGTCCACCTCCAGACTTTATCACACATCTAGTGTCAGATTTGGTGCCAGTATGAAAAAGAGACAAAAGAAAATGCTTGTTTGCCTTTCAGCCAGAGAATACAAAGTGTGTGTGTTTTAATACAGTCCTTTTTCAAAAGGCTCCCTGTGTTTCTGAAACATTAACAGGGATTTACAGTAGTTCTCACACGTCCTAACATCAGCTGGTTTTATTTGTCTACAGCCCACTCATTCTTTTTGCTCCCAGAGAGGCTGAGAGTCAGTTGGGTTTGAAATACTTTTGATCCTCTTTAGTAAATTCAGCATAAAGGTATCAAAGGGGCTATCCATTTTTTCCATATTGGCATATTTTTACCTACAYTTTCTTTAACAAGTATTCCACGTGTTTTCTATAAAGTACAATTATTTGCAGCAAAATTGTTCCCATTTTCCTTTCTCAGTGCTCCAATTTATCTTTGCATGGATCTTTCATCCTCACTGGTGTGGAAGAGACGGTAAATCCCCAGTTTTAAAAGATGCTGCTCTTTTATTTCATTGTTTTGTATCAGTCTCCCTTCCATTCTCAGTGGAAGAACCCAGACACACGACTTTTGACCACACTGGTAACTTGAAATCCCGCTTTCTGGTCCTTTAATGGTTCCTAATGGACTCTCTACCACTTTTTGTTTCATGGAAATATATCACTGACCCCTCATCAGCCTCAGCTCTTGCCCAGCCGGGCAAACCCCATCGATAATCCCCCGCCGCCACTGACGGCGCGTTAAGCGGCCTTGGCCGGCTGCCCGTCCGCAGCACCTGCAGCCGCAGCTCACCCGCCGCACCCCTGGCCAGCCAGCCCCGACGGCTGCTCGCCACCGCCCGGCCCCAGCCAGCCCCCGGCTCCCCCGGGCTCCCCCCGGGCTCCCCCCGGGCCAGGGCGTTGGCGGGGCCGCGCACCCCCCGCACCCCCGGCCCTCCCCACGGGCGGNCCCGGCCCCAGCCAGCCCCCGGCTCCCCCCGGCTCCCCCCCGGCTCCCCCCGGGCCAGGGCGTTGGCGGGGCCGCGCACCCCCCGCACCCCCGGCCCTCCCCACGGGCGGGCGGGCGCCTCCCCCGCCCAGTGCCGTCCCCGTCCCGTCCCGTCGCCGTTCCTGTTCCCAGCCGCGGCGGGGCTGCTGCCGACGGGYGTCTTCCCCCGGCTTTCTGCCCTCGCCGCCGGCGACCAGCGACACCTCCGAGCACCCCGCTGGTCCCGGGCTCGGCCGCAGCCGCGGCTTTGTGTGCGCCGCCACCTGAGGCGGGCGCGGCGGCGGTGGCGGTGAGGGGGTGGCGGTGCCCTCACGATGCCGCTCCGCGGGCTCCTCCTGCCCCTTTGTCTGCTCTGCCTCCAGGCTGCGCTACCGCTCCGCGGCCACCGCGGCCGCTACTCCGGGTAAGTCCGGCTCCGCTCCTCCCGGGGCTCCGCGGCCGCGYTCCCTCCGCTCCGCTGGCCGGAGCTCGCCGGTGGCTGCGTGTTCGGGCATCCCTCCCGCCGCCGACCTGGCTGTGCGCTTGTTTGCTGGCACTTGTAGTGTGTTGTTCTTGAAAGAGGTGTTGCGAGTCTCTGCAAGCGAAAGAAAGGATGCTACTACACTGGGAAAAAGAAAAAAAGTTTTAGCGTCCTTGTAGAAAAAAAAAATTGTGATTATACAGTGAGGGRAAAGAAAGGTTTTGAGGCTCCACCGTGTTCTGAAATGAATGAATATTTATATTTTTCTTTAGGATGCAATTGTAGTGGAATTTAAAATTGTTTTTAAAAGTTGATCAGTGTGCAGTCACACTAGTGAATCATAAGTTCAAGCAAGAAGGGAACTCTACTGTAAGCAAGTGAAGACTAGAATTTTCTCATGTATTTCAAACTAGGCTTTTCTCTTTTTTCAACGGGATTTCAAATTGGTGTTAGAAAGGGAAAGATTGAACTAAGTAGTAGTAAAAGGCAAATTGTGGAATCATTGCTMGGCTTTGCCTCCAAAGTAGATGTTYTTTGCCCAGTTTAAAGACTTTGTTTTTAGCAAGTATTTAACACAGTAGCAGATGCAAATGAAAAAGCAGTCAAATACAGCAGCGTTAGAAGCCAGTGGCATGTGCCAATATACAGTACAAAATTCTTTCAAAGTGACCAGCATATTCGTCAGGATAAGCACACCCCTCTGTGAAAGTAAGAGCTATCTTATTCTTTTTATTTTGTTGGCGTAGCCAAGCCAGGCATAGAAATTCCCCTACTAAAAYGAAGTTTAAAAAAAACATTCCCTAAGCTTCAAGGATTTGGTAATGTGATATGAAGCCATTCACCCTGGGTCGCTATTAGTGATAGAAAATAGTTAAACACTTGACAGCTGTTTCCCCAYCTCTGTTCAGTTCCTCGTGTCCAGTATCTGTCTGCACCGTGAAATCAAACAGGCCACCACAGTCAGGATTCCTCCTGACAGTGCCAGGGAGCAGCGGGACAGAAAAGTAAACTGTTCTCTAAAGGCAGGGTCCTGCTGCAAGTTTTGTGCAACAGTACTGTTCTCTCTGGAGCCCATGGCACAAGCATGATCTCCATGAACTTGGGTTTTTTAAAATTCAAGATTGCATTCARTTTGTTTCCAGATGACATTGAGATGAATAACACATTGTCAGTGCTGGTGCTTAACTTTTTCTAAATATTAATTGTATGAGTTATCGACTAATTGATGTGTGAAGTGTCAAAATACGCATTTTACTATCCTCTGGGTTTATGTGACATCATCAACTGTGATCAGGTTGGTTCAAATAGAATAATATGCATAAAAATCCAAATGTACCTCTGCTCATTTRCGTAACCCAACAATTTYRTAATTTTGTTCAAAGTTTTTAAWWTTWTTTTTTTGTTTCAAAATTTCATATCCCCAAAGCGACATGTGAAAGACCCACCCAAACTCTCCTTTGTTAATCCCTGTTTTAGAAGCTTTTCCTCTTAAAGCTTTTGGACTCTAGTCCAAAAAAAAATGACACTTCTCATTAGCTTCCAGAAGTTGGGCAAGAAAACCACTGCTCAAAAAAAAAAAAACAAAAAACAAACCAACCAGAAAACAACAACAACAACAACAAAAAACTAAGCTAGAATTAATTATAAAAACTCTCAGTCAATATGCAGTTGTAGTAGGGGGCCAAGATGCATTTCCAAGCCTTGCTGAAAATGTGGKCAACATTTGAAACAGAAACCAGAATGTGTACCACATGTGTAACACAAACTGGAAAAACAAGCTAATATTTTTCCCAACCTGCTAATATTTTCCATTTCTACTATCCTGGCATTATTTGTGTCAATAAAAGATGATGGAAAGGTAATTTGAAATGAGATGAAGGTTTCTACAGACCTATGAATATATTTTGTTCATCTGTCATCATCCCAGTGTCCTGGGCAGGACCATTTAATTTCTTCTGTGTGTGCCATTGGTTAGAAACAGTTGAGCAAGTGCTGCCATTACTATTAAACCTGTCTGTTATTCAAGGGGAAAAAATTCGGTAGGTTTTTTTTTGAGAAAGACAATTAGGAGGTGAATAGTTTGCTAATGCTTACCCTTAAAAGGGGTGTCCCCAAAAACTGACTTCTTTCTCATGCCAATAAGCATCTGTGAATCCTAGCCACTTCTATTGTGTCAGGAGCTGTACCATAAAGGGGAAAGGCAGAAGTATAATTAGGGCAAAAGAGTGAKAGARAAAAAAGAAMAAAAAAAAGTAAWGGAAACATTTTTCATAAACTTAGGTCAGCACCAGGAGGCACATGCAATTGTAAATCTTTAGTTGAGGAGTCAGACCAAAGACAATCAGCACTGCACATGTTTCTCCAAATTGTGTCAGAGCAGGCCAGGTATGCCACATGGATACATTTTTAAGCAAATGTTTTCCAGACACCTTTGAGAAGTCAGCAAATAGCTGGAGAGTCTCAGCAAAGAGGAAGAAGGACCCACCGAACCCTTGGAAAGATGCAGGGACAGTTGTGTTTGCTTTCTGCCTCGCACAATGTGCAGGAGTTCAAGCTKCCCCTGTGCTCTTGTGCCTGAAGGAACTCAAGAGGAGCTCTCTAGAAAACGCTGCTAATCAGCCACCCAACAGCAAATTCTAAACTATACTCACACACACATTTTTCCTTCCTGCATTTCTATGCTCTGTACAGAAGTTCCAGGGGAAGTGGATAAGTGGGAGACACACACATACACCAGAGYTTGGACAGAGTGGAAGTGGAATATTCAATAGGATTTTTCAGGAGGCCAATACCAGAAGTTCAGACAGGGGCAACAAGTCAGTAGGAACCTTTTGATGGTTTTATGGARCTGTGTGCTGGAGCAGATGGAGTTTTGTGAGGGTTTTTTACCAAATGCAGCTCTTAGTAATCCTGCAAAGGAGATGGCTTCCCATTAGCGGGTCAAGATTTCTTAGAATAGAAAATATCTCTCTCATTTGTTCTTTAAAAATGACTTCTATGATCTTCAGGTCATCTACCTCCACCTGTACATGGTGCCTCAGTATGTTACCTCTGATTTCTTCCCCATTTTTTGTTCTTCCACAGCCTTTTCAGAAGTGTTTCTCATCTCGCCTCTTCTCTCACTTGCAAATGACCAAATGTAGGCAAAGGCTGAAATAACTTGTCCAGTTTTTCTTTGAGGTATTTGTGGCAAGATTTGGAATCTTTATAAATATCAAACTCCTCCAAAATGTTATTCTTCAGGGGGTTGCAGTGCTACAGATAATTATRATTTCTCTTGGTCAGATGAAGGCTGTGGTACATGCCTACTGTGTAATAACCACATAAAATAAGTTGGGAGTCATGCAAGGAGACTGAGAACAGTAAAGAAATGTTCTGTAATCCAAGATATAATGTGCTGCAGCTACTGGGACATGACATCCGGAAAATTGCATAAACCAACTGTTCACATAGATATGGACAGATATCAAATCTGAGAGCATTCAGCAAATTTCAGGTATTTTAATGCCCATTAATACCCCCACATACCATAACTAAATACCTCTGATCCCACAGTACCTTACACACAATGAYTGGCAATTGCTCTGTCTCATGGAAAAAACACATGGGAGTGTGAGGAAAATGAGTTACTCAGGCAATTGAGAAGTGGAAAGGAACTCCTCCTGTGCTATTCCCTGTGCAGATTTTTTCCAAGTGTTTTAATCATGGTCTAAAAGCTCTGCTATGTGAAAAAAGTTCTTTCTCCATGCTGCTCAGCTCTCTATCCCCACCCCCAAGTCAAAGTAAAATGTCATGAACACAACTGGCAAAAAAAGCATTTGGAAAGCACACTGCCAGCATGAGATGGAAGGTAATCATATCATTCAGATGAAAACCAAAATTAGTGCATCTCTGGATGGTGTCAGGRGGCTTCTAAGAGGTGACAAGCTGTGATCTCTCTAGAAAAAAACCCTTTTTTCCAAATAACCAATAATTCTGTAGTCAAAGCATCACTGATTCCTAAAACCAGAACAGATCAGTGAAATTCACAACAGCTCTGGGACTGCTTACCTATTCTTGTCCCAACATCACAGCTCTAATTATTTGTTTTCTCATTACCTGATATTCCCCTTGCACAGTAATATTTATATTCTACAGGAAAAAAAATACTGCCATGTTTTGATTATTTTTCTCCTCTGTGTCCAAGCATGATAAATTTACCTTTTAAAGCTTCTCTGCCCTCCTCATTATAAGTGAGAAATGCGACGTGTTTCAGTTGCTCTTTCTTTCCCTCTTTTGCTTTCTTTTTTAAAATAATTGGAACAACAGTACGCATCCACACTACCCAGGTGAAGTGCATACCAGGAAAGGAGGCTTCCAGTTAATTATGGCTGTGTCTAAACTGATTTGTGGGTTTGTGTCACCGTGTGAGCCTGGTCCCTGTACTTATCTATGGGACACCACTGMCTGGTGTTGTGTTTTCTGACCTCTGCAGGTGAAAAGATGGGGAAAAAACATGGGAAGTAAGGGAAGACATCAAATATCAAGACTTGGGCAAAGTTTGCACCCATGCTTAGGAGCTCTGAACTTGTCCTAGGTTTCCTACATTATAGGCAACCTGTGGCCTTTCAGTAAGAATGATTCTTTTGGAAGTGTAAAAGCAATTCCGGTAAACACCTATATTTTCCTCATTTTTAAAATTGTGTATGTAACAAATTGGAATGTAGTGTATTATCTAAGAAAATTCATGTTCAGGGTTGAATACAACAATTATGTTCCAAAAAAAAAAAAAAAAAAAAAACAAAAAAACAACCTGGGATATATCTAAGGTGTACTTAGAAAAAGATAGTTCTAAAAATTAGGAATTCACATATAAAATCTACCTAGACCCACTTTGAATATGCCAGCTTTACTGTCTCATGAAACTAAGCAGGCAAAGAAATACAGCTTTTCCCAGAGCTAAT